CCAATGCATGGCACTCCCTTGAAAGGGTGGCCAAAGGTACTTTTTTTTCTTCACTCATATTGTAGCAAGTGAAGATTTATTCTATTTTCTTCTCCCAATCTAAAAAAGTCTTCTACATTATCTTTACCATGGAAGGGAGGAAGGTCCACTCTAGTTTCTCTATGGGAAGGTTGTTCTTGCCCAGACCTATGTTGCCTAGGGGGTCTTTGATAATAGTTATCATCATGATGACTACTATAAAACCTTTCATTAGAAGTGATGTGAGTTGTGTGTGTTGGATTTTAGGCCTAGAAGTTCCTTTTATATGTTTTCCTCTAAAAGGTCTTTCACCATCATGGTGTCTAGATTTAGAAGGCCCACTTTCATTTAAGCCCTTGGGCTTGCTAGTTTCATCATTCCTATTAGGATGGTTAACCATAAGTCTAGCCAACATTTCCTTTAACTCCTCATTACCCTTTCTAATTTCCTCATCTCTTTTCTATTTTCCTCTTCTTTTTTTTTATATTTTCCTCTTCCTTTTTCCTAATATATTCTTTTAATTTCCTAAATTCTTCTTTAGTAGTACTCCTATCATTATGGGAATTATAACCATGCACACTACTATACCTTGAATGATCACTCATCTTTGCCTTGAAAATTTTTTCACAAAATTTGCAAGTAAAAGCAAAGATTTGAAGTGATAAAAATTTTCACAAAAGTTTTCAAGTGTGTGTGCATGAAACCCCTAGTAGGCAAAAATTATCCTTCTAAACGAGTAACTTAAAGAAAAATAGTGCTAACAATTATATTAACGTAAATTAAGTAAAAGGAAAGCAATTAAAGCATATACTAGTTGTTTTTCCCTAGGGTGAAAGTCCAAGTGACACTTAAATCCCCTTAGAACACTTTCACAAGTACTAAACAAATTATTAGGTTTTACTAAAACTATTTAGGAGAGGCAGGAGCACTCAAAAGGCTTCTCAAAAATCACTCCTAAATGTGAGTACAAGCTTAGGAATACAAGAAATTAATCCAAAAATAGTACTAAAATGAGTTACAACTAAAATGAAATGAATTAGAATTTAGTTACAAAAATTCGCAATTGAAACAGAATTTTGAGACTAATTTAGTGACTGATTTTCTTCACTACAACTTTTCCATTGCAAAATTGGTCGTTAATTTCGTCTCTAGGTGTATCAGGTTTCTTCGCTGGAACAGTGCATCTCAAAATCTGTTGCTAAGCCGTCGCAAATGATTCCTGATTTTATTGTTGCTGAAATCCGTCTCTAAGTCTTCCTTCCTTCAAAAAGAATAATTTGCTGCAAAATGAACACCCAAGTTAGCCTCACTAAAGGTGTTTCTCTCAAGTTTAGATGTACCTTAATCCCTCCAAGTTGTTGCCGTCTTTGAAGTTGGTCCACTATGTCTCAAATTATCCAATCTTTTCAAGTGGTGATTCCTTGAAAGTGTACCTACACCCCAAGAATGTACAAAACCAAGAGAGACAAAAAGCCAACAACCAAAACTAAAAAGGCACAATTAGGAAAGGCTAAACTCAAATAGGAAGTGACAAACTCAAAGAGTAATTTAAAAGACACAAAACAACAAATAAAAGTTCAATTTCAACACTAGCTTTCAAAAGAATAGTCCTAGGAATGACACAAGAGTTGATTACAAAATGAAACAAAAATTTGTGCAATTAATTTGAACAATTAAGATATATATCTAGCCACCAAAAACAGAGTAAAGTCAAGAAACAAGTTCCAAAATATAAGACCAAGTGCTCTAAAATTTGTTTTGTTTTATTTTCAATTTTCACAAACTTTTGTATATATATTATTGTTCTTTTTCTCTTTGATTTCCTTCTTGGATCTTTCTTTTCTTTCTTTCTTCTTTTTAAAAGAAAAACTGAACGTGAGCACTAAAACCGAAGTATATGATAGGAACAAATGGCTTATTAGTGGTGGAAGAAATATTATAGAAAGTGTGAATGAACTAGATAAACTTTAATGAAATTTAAGACTAGTTTTGTTTCTAGTTTTCTTTAGGTTTTAAAACTTCTTTTAATTGTTTTTCTCACACTTTCTATTCAGTTTTTTTTGTTCAATTAAAGCACAAATGACTCAAATAAATTTTTGGCCTTAAATTGCTAGGCAAGAATTAGCAAATGAAGTTCACAAAAATATGACATTAGAACATGCTAGATCTAATAACATGCATAGGATTCATATGATGAACACTTCTAAGATTTGTATTATGTGCATCCAACAATGTTTAAGACACAAAACAGAGAATATTGTTCAAAGATTCAAAACAGAAAAGGCACACAATGGAAGTAATGACATATAAGGACTAAACTAGAGAAAACTACATGGATTAAAAAATTGAAAAAGCATATTGTCATACATTTTTCTTTTAGAATTATTTTGACCAAATTTTAAAGGGTTCCGAACAAGATAAAAGCAAGCCTAAAACATTAAAAATGCAAGACAAGATTAACCTAAAGGCACACAAAAGGATTGATTCATATGAATTGATGCATGAATCAAAAATTACAAATAAAGTTGAATTGTTCTATAGATTTATAGATGTGACACAAGAACAATTCTAAACATGCAAACACAAGACAATCAAGAACAACACGTATTGATCAAATCAAAAGACACGAAAAGCTATGAAAAGAGATTACCAAGAAGACATTGCTCTTGATACCAAATGATGGAAAATCTATTGGAGAGACTAGATTGTTGTAGTTCTCCTCCAAGTTCCTTTGCACAGACCATTTCCTCTTGGCCTCCTCCTAGATTTTCCAAAGGTGTTAGAAGTCTTCTTCAAATACACATGAAAGGATAGAGAACCCCCTTAGTGACGCTACACTCAATGGAGTGATAAGTCCCTCTAAATCTCACCACACACAAAAAAGGATAAGAGAAATGGAGTAAGTTTCAAGGAGAGAAACAAGCTTTGAGAGAGAGAATTAGGAAAAATGCATCTAATTCATTAAACTCCAAAGTGAATTTCATCCAATGCAAGAAAATCCTATATATAGGAGTTTGGTTGACTTATGGTGCAAGCTAGACTACCATGGTCAAGTGTAACCATGGTTAGCTATCTTATACTTAAGCTAACAAACCCTTGTTAACCTTCTAGAAATTTATGAAGCAAGCTAAGCTAATCCTAGTTTGGAAGTAACCTAGGTTAGTTTAAGTTAACTCCAACTACCTAACCTATAATCATGACAACTAGCTAACCTATAATCATGACAACTAGCTAACTAATGATTACTTTCTAACAAGTTTGTTGAGATGTCACTATCAAAGCCATGTAACTTATTTAACAACTTGGATGGCCTTGTTGACTAGGTTTGGACGTCCAAATCACTTGCTTAGGCAAGTGGACGTCTAATCCTAGTGGGTTAGGAAGAGTTTGGGTCATCCAAACCCAAATAAGTCTACGACTTAAGTTAGTTACACCCTCCCCCCCTAAACTACTAATTACATCCTTAAAAAAATTTATATAAGGACAAAAATTCATATGCTACTTGACCCAAAATACAAGATAAAAAATAACCTATTCAGTCACTACTAAGAAAAATGTAAAATAATAATAGGAGTCCTTTAAGGTAGGATAAACCTCCAAAGGTAGGATACCCTACAAAATAGGAATAAATGCCCTACAATTCTTTAAACCATCTTCATCATCCTTCACCCTTCTTGGTTTTATTTCTTCCAAAGGGATCCTTGGAAAGTAGGTCTCCATCACCTTAGTTGAAAATGCATGATTTAAGCATGACTTGTCATAAGCTTTTTTAATGGCTTGACCTAGCTTACACAAAAAATTATGATTTTCTCTATAATTCTACTTTATAGTTTATTTTGTAATAATTTAACACTAAGATAGTAGTGAAAATAAATATGATAGATTTTATAAAAAAATTGAGTCTAACTTGTTTATAAGATATAATTATATTTTTAAAGTCTAAAATGAAATGATGACTTTTTAAATAAGATGTAGATTTAACTTTCAATAAAATTATAAATTTTATTTTTATATAAGTTAAGATGCTTAATATTTTAAAATATATATAATTTTAATAAATTATAATAAAAAATTAATATAATAATAAATATTGATACCTAATAAACTTTTTAAATGTTTTTCTAACTCCGTGACATGAGTAAACATTTATAGCGAAATGTGATCATGTTGTACCTTGAGTCAACATCCCATGACTAAAACAGACTGGCCTCTTACAACAAATTCGGTGTTCTAGCTCATCCTCTTGAATATAAAATAAAAATATTCAGTTGGAATAAAAGCTTACGCCACTCAAGTCCACACAACATAATAGAAACAAATGCTCTAATTATGCTTTTGACCTCAATAAATGTTTTTACTAGCTCCTTGACATATCCAAAGGATGGAGAGTTTTATTCTGAAACTACAAGAGATAATATTCTAGTTAATGATCTTCCAATCTTCGTACACGTTTTCTAGGCCTACATTTCAAATGTTAAATTTGGGCAATATAAAGTAAATTTTCAAGAGTCCTTTATGTAAAAATTATCGTTTAGGGTGATAGATATGAATTATCCATAAACCATCGCGGTTTAAGATTTTAAAATGTTAATAGCATATTATCAATCAGAACCTTTATAATCAAATAGTTAATAGTTCATGTTATGCTTTAAATTTTTTTGTTAGTTAAAGTCTGTAATAACGATGACCAAGTGTAATTTAACCTTTCAAGAAAAAATAGTAACTTGACACTTGATTTCCTCCTTTAATTTGTTTCAGAATTATGACTCTATATCATAAAATGAAATTTCATTGGACGGGACCATTATTGAAAATCGTGACACCACAGAAAATTCCACGTCCGATGCATGATTAGAAATCCTACTATAATATAGTAACAAAAGTTGCACAAGGATTGTACCCGTGACTCCACATGCTGCCAATTCTTGTTCACGGGTCCAAAACATGTGGTTAAGTTTAGAGTTCTTCTCTTATATATAATCAAGTGACAAAACCATGGATCCACAACTCCAATAGGCAACAACTAACAAGAAGTCATCAAACGTTCACTGAGTTTGAGTGGTACATTGTGGTGATCAAGGATGGAACAGACGAAGTGGGTGGCACTTAAGTTTTTGGTGGTGGTGGTGATGGCTTCTTGTATGTGGAAAGGGTCCAAAGGTCTTGATCTGTGTAAGATGAATGAAGATGGTTTGGAAGCTTGCAAGCCAGCAGTGACTCAACCACCAGTTGATCCATCACCTGAGTGCTGCAAGGCTCTTGCTGCTGCTGACTTGAAATGCCTTTGCTCTTACAAGAACTCTTCTGAGTTGCCTTTTCTTGCAATTGATCCAACTCTTGCCACTTCACTTCCTGCAAAGTGCAATCTCACTCCTCCACCTAATTGCTAAGCTATGAATAATGCTCTCTTTGTAGCAGTGTTGTAATCTCTTTTCTGGTAATGGACTTGATGGGAAAAAAGAAAATAATTGTACTCCATTTTTTTTTTTCACTTTTTTCTTATGTTACAATATAAATTACCTATGTTTTATTTTGGCTGTATACATTATTATTATAGGAGTCTCTTTCCATACATGATTAGAAACATTTTTTAAAATTTTTCTACTAAAAAATGTTCTTTCATTATAAATTTTTTTATAAATATACTTTTTACTTGTATTTAAACAGACATTAAGTTTGCATACTTAAACCTTTGATGCCGAGTTTGTCAATATGAGTAACACTAATTAAGTATGACATCCAATTCATTTAATGTCAAGAATCATGATTTTACAAGCCAATATAATTTTCCATGTTTAATGATATCTTGTGCTTTATGTTATTTATCTACTTGAAATAGCTGACTCTAATTAATCTTATAATAGATATATGACAATCTCAGCTTATGTATAAAAGTTCGGCGCAATGTTCAGTTTTCATTGATCAATTTGGTCTTAACTATGCAAGAGAATAACAGAAAAATACAAATATATATACGATGCAAAAAAATGTGACAGAATAACAGAAAAGTACAAATATGTATACGATGCAAAGAAAGTAAGAGACTAGAAAGTAACAAAATTCAGTTTCTCAAAATTAAGTATAACTGACCAACCAAAGCCTTTCCTTAATATTCTCCCTCAATCTGAGTGTGGAGTAAGAGCACAGTTTGGAGGGACTTTGTTTAGCAAGTCTACAATTTGGAACTTGGAAGGAATGTGCCAAATTTGATCATGAGCTACCTTCTCTGGACAAATTAGAGATCAATTTCAAAATGCTTACAGTTTGTTTGTTTATGCTTCTTCATAATTTTTTCCCACGTCCACAAGAAGCAAGAAGCTATAGCTTCTGTTTATTCCACTCAATTTGATGCAGTTCTCACTGTATACATGTATGTTAGGTGAGTGCCCAAATACACACTTAGTGTTGGAGAAACTAATATAATAAAACTTTTATAAAATAACATGTATAAATTAATTTTAACTTACGAAAAAACATATTTCATGTTTTTTTCTCTTAGAATTATCAAAAAGTTTATGCAAACATACCTTTAATTTTGAAATAAAGAAATGAATGTGAGTTGAAGAATATCACACCTTTACACCAAATTAAAGGTGGTTTGGTGCCTGAAAACATGTTATTTCTTAGTTAGCCAGGAACCTAGTTTGAAGCCTAATAAGTCGTTTTGCAGCTTTTGATGTCTTCATTGAGACTCCAAGGATACACAATTTGTTCACCACTGAGTTGTATAAGGAAGGATTTGGAGCCTCGTTAGTGCCGTTAGTTAGAGTCAAGTTTTAAGGAAGTTGGCATAGAGTTTTAATTATCCTTGCTATTTGCAAATTTACTATGCCAAGGAGTTCTGAGATCGATTCGCACTTGGACTGAGATGAGTCCGACTTTGTTTTACTTTCAATGAAATAGTAGAGTTTGACAAGATCCTTGAGGACAAAGATTGAATGGAGTTTAGTGATTAAGTTCTCAATTGCTTCTTATCAATGTGTCATCCACATAGACAAAGATGAATATAGATAATCCAGAGGAAAACAACACAAACATAAAGTTTTCAAACCAAAAGCATACAGCGCTTGTTTAAAGCCATACAATGCTTTCTTGAATCTGCACACCATGTGGCTATTTCCGGTCTCAATCTTCAACATGCTTTATGAAGACTTCTTTTGGATCCCAATTTAAGAAAAGCATTATTTACTTCAATTTAATGAACTGAGCAACCTGTGGAAAGAGCAATAGTCACAACAATCCGAATAGTAACAGGCTTAATTCTTGGACCATATTTAATTACTTCAGGATTCCTTTTTCAGTCAGAAGCAAAAAAGGTATTAGATTCCAAATGGAATTTCTCAACAAGGTTGAATACTGATCAACATCCATTGCAACTTTCCATTTAAAACATGTTTAATACAAGTTAGAAGCGATTTTGACTTTTGAGAGTTCCTTTGCATAAAATAAGGAGTATTTTTTGATAAAAATACTCTCAAAAGCACTTCTAAGCTGATATTTAAATAAGTTCTTAGTAATTGAAAAGCTTAGCTACCTGAAGCTGGTCCAATAGTTGTAGAAAAGACTTAGTCTGAAGATATCAGCTTTAGTTTGGGTTGTCATTTGAAAAGCCTTTCCAGTATTTTGAGGCACTACACCACTCACAGGAAAAAGGCAACCTTAATTAGAATGAGGCGTCACTCATATATTGTAATGAACTGCTAGGTAATACTTAACCTTTACTGAAAAAGAAGGAAAAATAACTGAATTTTCTTATCGAACTACAATGCAACTACTGACTTGAACTTTAGAAAAATAAACAACGCTCCAGTTATATTATGCATAAAGTAAATTTGGAGCTGGAATAAGCATCCAAAAAATGAATTTAGTATCTCCAATCATCCCTAGATGGAGTTGGACATGGACCGTGCAAATGTTAGAGGAAAGGAGTTCCAAAAGCTCAGGAAAAGTTACACTAATTCAGAATTTGCAAAGGGAAGTCTCGCATACATGAACAAGGTTGTATTATTGCTATAAATTGGAATTTTAGAGGAATTCATGACATGCATAGCTTTAATAGAAGCATAGTTCCTTAAGCTTGGCTTAACGGTGAGGGGCTTTAGGTAGTTTGTATGAGATTTTACATTCAAATCTCATTGCCGTAAGAAAACAAAGAAGATAGCTTAGCCTAGAGTTCAACAAATTAAAGTTATTGAATCTAAGTACAAATTTGAAAATAGAAGGTCGCACAGAAATATATACTAGAAGTTAGCGGAAGAAGCTTGAGATTCTCACTTGGGCCATTAATTAAATGATTTGAAATGAGAATCTTAAGCCATTAAGAAACTTAACTACAAGAGCCACTAATTATTAACATAATTTTACAATCTCTCACTTAACTCATGACTTTAAGATTTAACATTAAACAATAAGTATACGCTATATTTTAAGTCAACTCAATTAACTTAATTTTGTAATAAAGTCTTTAATGTCATTTAAAAGATTTGTCATGTTATTTTACTAAAGGCACATCTTATTTTACTAAAGACAATAACAAACACCATATAACATGAATGACAAAATAACCAAAAATATAATTATAATTAAATTCACAAGGCTCAATGTTATTTTAAGAGCACTTATTTTTGTCCGTTGAATTATAATACCTTCTTTATAAAACTCATACCCATATTTTCCCAAAATTTTATTTATTTAATTAAAAGTACATTATATTATTTAATTATAAAAATTGGGGTGTTAGTACTTTCCATCCTTAACCCTTTGTTTGCCTAATAAGAAAAAGAATAGAAATGAGAACGAGAAAATAGAAATAAGATAGGTGGTTTGGTCAATAAGTATGGAGAATAGATAAATACTAAACGAGGAGTTGAATAGTGTATATAAAAAAAACTCGTATGTCTTCAACAGTGAGATAGTAGTGGTAGTTAGATGAAGCAAAAGGAGTAGTCAGATGAAATACCGAGTATTTTTATATTGATTTGCCTCAACCATCGAGACTACATCTAGTTCTCAATCCAACTATATTGAGTTCTAATATCTTTAAACAAAGATACAAGTATTCTTTTAACAAGTCACTTTTGACTCAACTCTAAGTATTATTTGACTTGACTCTTCAAACAACTATCCAAGTATTCTTTTAACAACAAGCCTCTTCAAGGCTAACAACCAAGTATTCTTTTGTAGTCAAGCCTATCCGAGCTCAAGAACAATTATTCTTTTTTAGACAAACCTCTCCAGACCCAACCTTATAACAATGGTTATAAAGAATTTGTGTTTGTCTCACTAAGATATTACACAACCAATTACAGACTAACAAATGTTTATAAGAAAGAATAGATTTACAAATAGATTTTTTGTACAAAGTATAAGTATCTATGTTTATTTCCATTTTCTCTTCTTTCTTGTACTTTTAATCTTCTTATATAGTAGCCCAAAGAAGATGACTATCGCAACACTTTGAGCAGCCCAACTCACAAGTTTGCTTCTTCTATCTTCATCATCTTCCCTGTGGTGGCAGGTAATCATTTGACACATTTAATATCAACATTAAATGCATTTCACCAAATAATATCTCTTATCTGATCAAGGAAACTACTTATCAATTTTCCATACAAAATGGAGCTTGTAGAAGCAATGTCAACGCACAACAACTGTGGTAGTGACTTTATTTACTTTTCTCTGTGATTTCAGGGATTTGGTTCTAATGGAAAGTAAAGTTTTTCTCTTTAACAGATTTGTGAGTTCCAAGATGGTCTTTTAATATGATCTATCAAGGAATGAAACATTCAAAGCAAACTTTATCATTAGTCTCAATAAATGTTAAATATTTAATATATATGAGACCAAATGTATACTTCATCTGATTGAAAATGTCTTATAGATGATCTATGTCTTAGACTTCATTTGATAAGTTTTTTCAAAGATACATTTCAAAGACATTTTTTGCATACATTTTTTCTATATAAAAACACTTTGTTTGTTAGTATTAAAACTCTAAGTTTAGGGAATCATCTTTTGACTTAACAATAAGAAATGTGGGGTGAGAAATTAAAAAAAATGATGGACCTAACCACCTTTTTTATTTCCACACAAAACAAGGCAAAAAGTCATGGAGAATGGCCAATGTGTTGCACTTTGCAATTGTGTTTTTTTGGGTTCTAAATCGCCTTAATTCATCAAGATGGTGCAATTCCTTCATGTAAAAAAATGTAAAGAAACTTGTAGAGAAAATAACTCTAAAATCTAAAAATTGAGTATTAAGTGTACATAATAAGTCTCACAACATCTATTAATAGAGCCATATAGTAGGCATAATTTGAATATTTACAAGATCTGACCTGCTAAATCAATTGATTATATCATTAAACAAATCCTAACATTACATTCTAAAAAGAAAAAAAAATAGTGTACATTGTTGCAACTTTACAATACATTTTTGGGTCACTTAATGTTTAAATTGACCTTTTCTCCCAACAGGGAATTTGTAAAACGCTCTCTTATCTTTCCAAAGACACCAAGAACATCAAAATCTGATGTTGGGAAC